ATTCCATAGACAGTAAAAGGTTTATTCAAACCAGAGAATGTCTAATATGGGTTCAAACTAAGTTGTTCTATAACAGACGAACGTCGCTCTGCATACGTCATCTCCTTCATCGCTCTGATTGGTTTTAGGTCTATCCAATTGCGCCCAGAGGCATTTGAGCTACGTCCGTTGGTGACGCCCCTTTGGAAATGATTTGTCTATGAAGCTTTGCCAGACCATAACTCAGTTACAACTGAGAATGGTCTGGTTTTAACCAGGCTAGCATCTTGCATCAAAATCCTGTCTATTCATTGTATGCATTTAGTGTATAGTGTACCTAAAATAAAAAGAGTTTTATATACAGGTTTGTGGCTCTTAATTTCTTTGTATTAATTAACCACTTGTAAACTTATGTCCACTGTTCTTTTTTATTAATATAGAAATTGCATTACATCTATATTCATTATAGTCGAATCGAGAATCGAAATCGAATCGAATTTGAACATCTGAATCGATACCCAGCCCTACTTAAATGTGGATCTTTAATGTAGTATTCAGTTTTGAATCATAATGTATTTAAAGTATAATTTAACTTTATGTCTGTAATTTTATAGATTGTAACTTTGGTAAACCGTGGGTTGTTTTTAAATGTGCTTTATAAATAAATAATGAAATGAATGAAAATTATATGATGAATGTGGGTTAATTGCAAACGATCCATGTTCTGGCAGTTCAGAGACGGCAGACCTTGAGCTAGAGTGTGTAACGGGCACATGCAATTGGATGTGTGTGTGTGCACAGCATGGGAGTGTTTAGCCAGCTGTCTCACATACACACACGCACAGTCCCTTTGACAGAAGCGTTAATGAGATTTGGGCTGCTCCGCAGAGGCCACGCCCCTTAAGACGACTAGCAGGTCTTAGCACTAATACTGTGTTTTTGTTTACAATCATATGAATAAGTCCTGAGCCATGACACAATCTCACGAATGCACACACACAACAAGCAGGCAGGAGCAGAGGGATTTCCACACTCTATCGGGAGGAAGCTTTAGATTACGCATTCACCTTCCCTCGCCGCAATGAAGGAGTGGCGGTTGGCATAGTAATCTCTGACTGCATGTGGCACTAATGCATGTATTATGTGTGTAAAGCTTTGCTCAGCTCCTCCTCAGGAATCTCTTAATCATAAACAACTACACCACCACAAAATTGCAATTCAAACACCCCCTGCCTGAACCTTTTCTTAACATCTCAAATATTTGGCATTTCAATTACCCTATTTCAGCCATCTACAGTAACATAATAAATCTCAATCTGAAGTCTATACTGACTCTAGAGGTGCTGACGTAGCATCTAAGTTGATGGGTGAAGCTCCGAAGAGCAGCAGAAGGGCCATCACCTCCTTCGTGTGCCAGTCTGCAGATTAAATCCATACTGGTGATGGGATTCCTGCTGATTGGCTGGCGGTAGCTTTATCAGAGCTCGCCAGGGGTTGGCAAAGAGGCTATGTTTTAGAATGAGGTGGTCTCCAGAGTCCAGGCCTGCACACACCTGCCACACCTACAGCACAGCACAGCACAGCACAACACGAAACCTACTGCTGTCACAATGAAACTACACAACCACACGCACAATATATTTTGTTCACATTGTTTGAAACCCTGCTAAGCTGAATATAAAATATACGCTGAAATATACGAACAACAATTATTATTATTATTAATTTAAATAATATAAAAAAGTAAAAAAAACTTAAATTGTATTTTTGTTGTCATTTTTGTTGTTTTATATTCATTTCAAACGTAGACAAATGCTGAACCTTACATGAATGGAGTGCTAGATTTCAGTGCTGAGGTGATTTTGAAGGTTAAGAAGGAGCATTATTCAGTAGATCAGCAACGAATAATTTCACAATTAACTTGCAAATCTGTTTAATTAGAATAAAATCCCAAAGCCAAAGAAGGTAAGATCTAATAACAAGATACAAGCAACACAACCAAATACAGATAGCCTGGAGCAAGATGAGAGCGCATTTTATCTCAAACACAGAGTCAACAGCAATATTTAGCTCCTATAGGAAGACCTGACCTATGAGCTCACACTGAGAGAGTTAAACTCTAGCTCCAGGAGAGCAATGACTCCTGATTCAATGTTAACATGAGAAAAGCAAAACTTCCATCATAAATACTAGGGCTGGGTAAAAAATATATAATATATATATATATATTTCTCGATTTTAATAGATTCTCATTTTTACGAACCAATATCGATTCTTAAATCCCAAGAATCGATTAGGCTAGTCATCCTGTTTTCAGTTGATGAATGAATGGAACATTGTAGCGCGCATCCCATCCAATAAATCACCATAATCTTTGTGCTATGTTATTATTGATATGAAACAAAGTCTGAGATTTCAAATTACGTCCATTTTCTTACGAAATTCAAAAACATAAATACCGTTTTGGCGCTGTGGCGTGAGATCGCTCTGGCGCAGCTCAGCTCAAGAGAAGCAGCAGCGCGGAGCGTACATGATCTTCTCTTCCGCCTTAATAATAGTTACAGCGCATGAATGAGCATCCGAAAGGGAGTTAAAAGATAGAGTACAACTTATCGAAATCTGTATCATGTCACATGGAATCGCTCAGTGTTTCAACCGTGGAAAGACGTCAGTAAAACAGCTGGTAAACAAGGTAACGTCACATTTACCTCAGAAAAACCATATCCAGTGACCATAAACTCGTTAGTCAGCTAGAAAAATTAACTCTAGAGGAGCATTTTGCTAAATATATGCACCATATTACATATTCATTATAATTTTTAATGTTCTTCAATATTTAATGCATGTTTGAATAAATCTGGCAAGTTTTTATGACAGCCACCATTTAAATGTTTACATTTCATATAACTTTATACATTATTATAAAAATAAATAAGTGTAATTTAAGTGTTTGTATACAAATCAGTACATTTTTACCTTCAATATTATAGTTGGCTAATGAAGCCTAGTAGGCTACAACTGACTCCCATAGTTTACAGCATTAGTTAAGAGATTTGTTTTCCTTGAGAAAATTTGCCATGTATTGTACCTGATATCCAAAATAATCAATATTGAATCGAAATCGAATCGCAAGCTTGTGAATCGAAATCGAATTGTGAAATTTGTGTCAATACCCAGCCCTAATAATAAATACCCACATCTCGCATATGTGTCTAAAGAGCAGTGCGCTGTGTTTATTTTTAAAACAAACCCTCACAGGCTTCAATCTGCCAAGCGTTCAAAGCAAAAACACAATGTGCTCTTGTATGAGTGACTCCATTATGTCTTTGTAACTATATATAGCAATTTTAAGAGGTTGTGCAACCGTATGACCAAGATAAACATCACCAGGAATCCTGACACAGTTTTCTTAATGCTTTATAATTCTTATTTTTTTTAATGAACAAGCAAATCTATTTAAAATGCATATATAAAAAGTACAAGAAAAACCTAGACAGGCAAGAAAACCCCCCGGAATAAATCAAATATAAAAGTGGGCCAAAGAGAACAAATCTTACAATAGACAAACTGTATGTTCTCCAGAAAAGATTTTTAAATAGTTCAAGTATCATTTCTGTATGGCCAGCAGCTGTGCTCTAATGTATTGAGAAAAGCCTGAATAACTTGAAAAACACAGATTCCATTCATGTGTTCTGTATAAAATCAGCCAAAGAGGAAAACTGTTGAGGCAGGCGGTCAGCTTGTCAATGCCTCCATTTCCCCTCCGCTTTTGTCCAATGAATCCAGCAGTAAGTAAGGGGCGGCAGTGGCTCAGTGGTTCATGTGGGTTGTCTACAAACCGGAAGGTTGGTGGTTCAATCCTCGGTTCCACCTGACCAAGTGTCGAGGTGTCCTTGAGCAAGACACCTAACCCCGGCTGCTCCCGACGAGCTGGATGGCGCCTTGCATGGCTGCCGTCGCCCGTCGGTGTATGAATGAGTGTGTGAATGGGTGAATGTGAGGCAAATGTAAAGCGCTTTGGTGGCCATTGGGTCTGTGAAAGCGCTATATAAATGCAGTCCATGCAGTCCATAAGTAATGCATCAAGATGCCCCCTGGTATTCTATCAGTATTCACAAAAACTGACCAGTATTTGCTGCCATTCTAAAAGCACCGTTCACATTTATACTAGAAAATCTATGCAGGGTGGGAAGTTAACAACCTTTCTGCAGTTTTGTCATTTTTCTTTTTATCCCAACTTTAAACTTCTAACAGAATATCGCTGAAATCATATTTCGAACTTCTTTTTACCTAGAAGCGGAGAAAGAAAAAGAACTTTGCAGTGAGTATATCAGGACCTTAACCGTAACCCTCTAAATCAACAGCCAAACAGAGAGAAAATCTGTATTTCTCACGTTTTCGTCAGGATAACAAATGATAAGCTCCTGCAATCAATTTCTTCATTAGGTTGTTCATTGAAAGCCAGGCTACAGCCTGTGCTATGGAGGAGAGTAAACAGCTTTACATATTCAACTTATTTTAATCTCTCCCTCATTACCTCATACCGATGATTAAAAAATCTTATCTATCCAACTCATGCACGTTCGAAGGTTAATTACACCGTGTATGGGACCTCAGGACAGATTTATCCTCATACAACTGCAAGACAACTCAATAACCAGACCAAATAACAGTCCTTTTTCAGAATAAAACAGCATGTGGCATCAATGTATCTAAACCATTTCTCACAGTGGTTTAAAAGCTCTCTCGAGCCTATTACAATAATGTCCATCCTGATAGGACACAAAAGGATTGTTATATCCAGGCTTTGTCTGTAGTCATCTTCTCATTGATTCCTCATGACAGTGAACCAGTGATCTTTTCAACTGTCAAACTCCCTGATAAATACATACGGTCCTTTACTGTAGTCAAAAGTTGAATGAGGTACGAGCACTCAAAGATGATGTCAATCACATTCATAGATGTATTTTCGAAGGTGTGCTATCACAGTGCTGTGATTGAGAAGAGATCAGAGAACTTACAGCTCGTCACGTTGCCTCTGTGACAGCACCATGGTGGCGGTGGGGACAGGGCGGGGATGGGGGTCAGGTGTAGAGAGTGCAGCAACTGCTGTCTCCTTGGCAGGAGATCAGAGAGAGGACGTCGGGTCCGGTTGCAGGGCGGTCAGCAGCTCACCCAAAACACTTCTTCTTAAAGACGGTCTCCAGGAACACCACGTATTGACAGCCTGCAGGCATCTACCAACAAGACAGTCCTTGCATCTGTGAAGAGAAAAAAAAAGATTTTCATTCACAATCAGTCATTCACAATAACAGGACGGAATCAGAATGCAATAAGTGCAGTCCAGATGCGCAGTGGTCACACAGGCTTAAGGCAACAGTGGAAATACGCTACTGACCCTGTTCCTCTGACAGTAGCTTTGGGGGCTAACACACATTTCATATCAGGTGTTCCATCTGCTCTATTTCCCCCAGCACGCATCTCATTCTAGCCTGCATTCAGTCCACCCTATCGGCTGCCATGTGGAGCGTTTTGTTACGGACTCCTGCTGCCCCTGTCAGGAGCTCTGAACATGTGTAAAAGGGACCGCTGACCCAGATTTTAACGTCATCAACCTACTTCTGCACTCCAGTGAGATGCACAGTTTGACAGCAACAAGAAGGCCTCTGAATTTCTCTCAGCTAAAAGAGAGATCACTGTGCACTGCAGTATGGATGGCAAAAGTACTGCTACTTTACACACCAAGGCCTATTACAGTACTAAAGCCAAATGCACAGTACAAGCCTGAAGATCACAGCAGCTGGTCATCCCCAGTCAACAGGGTTGGGTATAGAGATGAACGGTATGAAAATTTCATATCACGATTATCAATGTTATCAGGGTTTTGTTAAAATGAGATGAAAATGTTCAAAGAGAACTGATATAGGCCTACACACTGAAAACTTAAGTTTTACATTTAAAAATTAACAAACGACAAAAAAATTAGCAGCTCTATGCACTTCTTTTAAGTAGGGATGTCCCGATCCGATGACGCGATCGGAAATCGGGCCCGATCACGTGGTTTCAGACTCGATCGGAATCGGAGGTTACCTTCCGATCAGGACTCGGATATATGTAAATTAGGGGTGTAACGGTACATGTATTCGTTATTATTGAACCGTTTCGGTACGCATACAAACCGAACGATTCCTAGGACCATTTTTCCTGCAGACAAAATCCGCGCTGGCGCGATCACCACAACGTTGCGCAACATCAAATGGCAAACGTAATGAAAGCGGAACGAAACTGCGCTTCTCATTATATTGTACTTAACGGACCATTATCAGTTCGGACCAGCAATATCTGTGCAGCGCGAGATCAAGCGACACAGCGCTAAGAGATCCAGTGAAGAGAACATTTGAATTCGCCACTGAAGTAATATCGCTGCGAGATCTAGTGAGAAGCATTCACATTTCTCCGTTATTACCGTAGATCTCTATTAGATCAAACAGCGCTGACGTGGGAACAGGAGAAACATTGTGCCGTGAATGAACATGGACTTAATGTTGCACTTCAAAACTCAAATATTATATAAATATATATTTAAATGTTATTTTTAATGTGATTACCAAAACATTTGTTAATCCTTCAAAGATTACCCCCATTTATAAACCTGAAAGTTTCAAGATGTAGGAAAACTCAAACTTATTTAAAAATAGTTTTTCTTTTAATAAATAGGAAATTTCTCTGGCATTTCTTTCTTTTTGCTGTATCATATCGAACCGCAAATTTTGTGAACTGTTACACCCCTAATGTATATATATGTATGTATGTATGTATGTATGTATATATATATATATATATATATATATATATATATATATATATATATATATATATATATATATATATATATATATATATATATTTTTTTCTTTCTTTTTTTCTTTTTTTTTTTATACACTTTTAAAACATTTTTATTTTTTGTTTACATGCCTGCTGGGTATTTTAAGTTGAGGTGCTCTTTGTTTTTATATTAGACTTTTTCTATATTTACTGTTGCACTAAAGTCCAAAAGTGAAGATTTTATGTTATTTATTACTTGATTGTTCAAGCTACCTCACAGAAGTGCTCTGTTTGTTAACAGAGTTGTTGAATGTTAAAATAAGGTGAATTAAATAAAAAATAAGGAACATCCTGAATCTGTTTTTTCTCTCTTCTTTATTATTTTTTTATGTATTATATAAGTATCGGATCGGGACTCGGTATCGGTAGATACTCAAAATCAAATGACTCGAGGGCAAAAAAACCTGATCGGGACATCCCTACTTTTAAGCATAAACATTAAAGGGTACATATCATGCTTTTAAATCGTTCCTTTTTACATATAAATCATACATTTGTAGTCTATATAAAGCGGAACTGCAATGCTTGGGTCTGAATTCCTCATTATTATAGCTCCACAGGCCCCTTTTCTACCCCTTTTCTGATGTGCGTCTGAGAGCAACTCGTTTTGGTGCGGTCTCTTTAAATACAATTGAGACACTTTATACCCCGCCCCCTCTCCAGGTTGTAGCGGTGACACTCGGTTCAACTCCACTGTTTTATTCACACGTTATTAACAAAATGCCAACAACGGAAGACTTGTCCAGCCAGCCTTACATGTTCTAGCCAGAGTCGGAGCCGGAGTAAGATGAAAATGAAGACGACGAACCTGCAGAACAACGTCTTCATATGGATGTATCGCAATGGTGTGTTACTGTATTTACACATGAAACTTTGGTCTTCCGACCTTTTACCACCGTGTCGATTTAATTTGATTAATATGTGCGAGGGAGAGAGAGCAAGACAGCGCCTAGTTTGGAGACGGTGAAGTCTTGTTTACACTTTCGCCTGGCTCCGAAGAGAGAGTGCGCGCGCGCGACCGGGTCTCTCTCTCTGCTCGTTCTTTCAGTTAGCAAACATGCGCCCTGTTACAACACAAGCACGGCAGTTCATCTACATTAGACGGTGTAATGAAGCTTGTGGGTTACTACATCCAACAACCGAACATTTTAACTCACCCTCTCGTAAGTTCTGCATCCTTTAGCTTGGACTACAATATTGCAGCGAGAAATAAAAATGGCGGATTGCTCGAAGTGGTGGGCCGGAAGTCGATGTCCTTATTTGGCAGTTCCGCTGCAAATACTGTGACGTAATTAGGGGTGTGCAAAAAAATCGATTCACATTTGAATCGCGATTCAATCTTTACCGATTCAGAATCGATTCATAGAATTCCAAAAATCGATTCATATTTTTTTTTTTTATGGCGTGCACGGGCGGAGTGGCAATCGGGTGAGTCGGGACTTTTACCGGTGGTTCGGTAGTGTTTCGAGGCTGCGAGGGCCGGTCTGATAAATAGTTACATTGCAAGTTCTTGCCGCCCGCTGGTCAAACTGCAGCCTCTCTGCTCAACCTGTGAATAAATGCATCGATCCGCAGATTATGTTTGAGTTCTTAATGGTCTGTAGATATTTTGCCAAGCGTGTCAGAGGTTACGGCCTCTAAACCGCACTCGTATAGTTTTTTTTCTCTCTCTCATCAAAACCCAATATGTTCATCACGTTTGTGTGCATTTTATTTTTGAGATTTTACCGGAGTCTCCACAACGGCGATAGATTGAAGCGCGCGTCCGAGTGAAGACTGCGTGAGCCACAGAGAACACTGTATCCATGACACTGATAGCAGCGGACACGAGCGCTCAGCTTGATTTCAAAAACAACAGATCTCTTACTTAATAGCGAACTAAATGAAGGCTCTGCTAGTTAACTGGAGATACCCGCAAATTACGCCTATGAACGACTTCACTGGATCTAAACAAATCAATCTAACCATAGATGTTACCAGTAGCAGTGGCTTTTTAAAATCTATTTAAAATAATTTCGCAAGGGTTCTATGACATTAGTATATTTTTAGGAAGTTCAATGTGCCCAGTCGAGTTCACATTTCAACAGTCAGCTGTTGACCTGGTAGCTGAAGTAGTCCTTAAACCACATTTAGCATTAATTGTTTGATCTGACTACAGCACTTTAAAGCTAAATGTAAAAGCTTTTTATTTAAGTTTTATTTTAAACTTGAATTAAATGTATTTGAAAGCTGGCCAAAGCTTGGCACTTTGCACTTTTTAGTTGCAAAAGTTTTTATTTTTGTATGAAGACATAACTAATATCAAACTACATTAAATTTGTTGTGTTTTTTTTCTTTTAAATTGTGTCTACTGCAATCAATCACATAGGAAAAAGTAAACTACATTTATATACTGTGAATCGTTTTTGAACCGAGAATCGTTTTTGAATCGAAAATCGATTTTGAATCGAATCTTGAGACAAAAAATCGGTATCGAATCGAATCGTGACATTTTCTGAATCGTGCACCCCTAGACGTAATAGTTCAAAAAACGTCATAGAGAACAGAAAAATCGGAACAGGTTGAAAAATATGACCAAAACAGAATATAAAGATATCAAGGAAGCACCTGAAGAGAAAAATTTAAACTTTTCTGTACTTCTAAACACTCCAAATATTAGGGATGCATCGATCCGATACTCAGTATCGGTATCGGCTCCGATACTGCCATTTTTGCCGGATCGGGTATCGGTCAGACGAGGCCGATCCAAATCCGATATTGTGCATATTATTCTGTGTTATTGTTAAGCCCCACAAAAGGCACAAAAACATTATATAAAGCACCATAAAGTTTTCGTGCACTATCTTCTAAGTGTTCTGAAGCCATTATATAGTATAATGTGAGATATAAATGAATATTTAAGTCATTAAATTCAAGACCACGTAAACTTTTTCCCTCCGCTGCGGCTGTCAGTCATTCTCCATTCAGCATCAAACAGCGCGTCGCGTTCGGGTACAAGAGTCAACACGAGGAAACTCTCCAAGATGATTCAATGTTACTATTATTATACTTGATCTGTAGATAAAGGTCTATGGTTTCGCATAAAACAACTTTATATTGCTGGACTTTATTGCTGTAACTAAATCATGTTACTTTCTACCGGGCGTCTGTTAGATCGCAACACTAAAGTAGAGTCAGAGCACTATATAGTTCTTCACGCGCACAGTAACTGAAATTTAAAACTGTTAAAAGAAAAGGCTCAATAAACGATTGCATAGATTAGATAGATACTGTGTACACTACGCATCAATATGTATTTCCTTTGTGCTTTGAACTTTTAAATGCGGACTCGACGCGCTGTGACTCCGTGTTGCTTCAAGCACATCATTCTGCGCTC